CAAAACCCCAAAACCCCAAAACCCCATCATTCACTTATAGTTCAAAATAAAATGCCTTAAAATCATAATTTAATTAAGATCATTATTTATTATCTTCTTCTTCGTCTTCTGATTTATTATTGTTTTTATTGTCTGAATAATCTTCTAAAGAATTTTGTATCTAAGTTAGATCAATTTTATAGCCATTTATGATTGCTCTAAACACATCCTGCTGTGTTATTTTTCCTTTTAAATCGATGGTCATTACTAAATCCTGAATCATAATTGGATATGTTACTCCTCTCAAAAATGATAATTGCTAATGCTTTCTAAATACTTCAGATGTGGCTTTTTTGATATCCTTTATATAGATAGTTTCTTAGTCACCATTCATATTAAGAACAAGTAATTATTCTACAACTTCATCCTCCTTATTTTGAATCAAATGAATCTCTTTTATGGAAGAAGTTGATTGGTTTTACAATACAGTACTTAAAAATAAACCTACTGTGAATGGTATGGAACTTATAGCTGATAAGATATAGTGCCCAATTAAAAATTCATGCACTGTGTATAAAGAGCTTGCAAACACCATAATATTTATATTGAATCTCCTCATTATTTGGAACTTAAATCTATCAGAGACTAAGTAAAGCAAGAATTTATCATCGTTATCAAATTATATTCTTGTCTTGGGAATGTATATTTTTTCGATTATATTTTTGCCATAACTATCGACTCTTTATGTTTGTTGTGTTCCTGTATCTGGTTCCTAGAACATTTCATGATTGGGCTTTGAGAACTTAGTTTTCCTACTGAATTATCTTGGTTGTTAAAAAAAGAGGGAACGGCATTTATTTTGATTTATTACTTTTTGTTAATGAAGTAGAATTTCCAGGGATAATTTTGAAAACTTTATCATTTTTATGATTAAAATTATACATATAGAAATTAAATTGTATTTAATTCTGTTAATTAAGAATTGAACTTAAATTATTTTAGAGAGTGTGAAAAGTTACTTAGGCAAATTATTTGCGAATTATCAATTTAACTATATTATAATCAATTGGAAGAGCTGATTAGCTCTCATTTTTCATGAGAAGAGGAATATGCTGATATTCACCCATTCTCTAATAAATCCAATGCTTTCATTGTGTGTTGGACAAGGTAACCTTGCGACTTTTTGCATTTCTAGCTTTTTTTGAATTAGTCTCTTCAACCATAAGTTCATTGCTATACTCTGAAATAGCAGTAATTTTGCAGACATCACAAAAGAATTAGGTCTTCTATTTAGTCTCATAATCCAAAAATTCTCTGTCAGACATGTCAATGCATTAGGGATGGTACCATCTTTTGCACTCACCCTCGCATTAAATCATTTTCTTGTTATCATACTGTTTCTAGCAAATACAATAATGCTAGATGTGTCTCTTGGTTCTTCCAATCATTATTATTGCAGCTGACTTTGTAGTATTAGACTAAGTCTTTGATATCTCTTTTGACTTCTTACTAATGGCCTTTGTCTTTTTAATAGCTCCTCTAGTAGCCATAAAACTTGCAACCATTTTGTTACTTATGGTTAGGACTTCAGAGAGACTCTCAACCTCACTATCAATTGCATCTCCAGTTGAGTTTGTTGAGTCTTTCAAATCATTTGAATTGCTGATGTCTTTCATCTAAGAATCTGAGTTCATCAAGATCAATGACTCCTGACACGCATCACTCATAACCTCATTTACCACATAATTTTCTCGGAGGTTTTCTTCTTGATAGCCCATTCCATAGTTGAGGCTATAATTTCCAGTATGTGCTTGATTTCCCTGAATTTAAATTAGCAGTCTTTGGTTGTTTTAAGAGTTTTCCGAATACTCTCCAGGAGAATACTATGTGTCACTGTTTGAATTATGATTTGAGTTTGTGTTCTATAATGGCAACTATATTTAACCAGTTATTTGAATAAGCCTCTGATTTGATCTGTAGACTGTTGGTTCTCTAGTAGAAGACAACATTTCTTTATAGTTTTAGCTGAATTCAGCCTCAAATTCTTTGGTTGGAATTAACTGCTATTCCCTAAGCAAATTTTTAACTCCTAAAAGATACTTACTTGTCGGATAAAACCCTTGACATAGAATCCTCTTTACTCCTTTAAAGGTAGAGTTTTTCGACAATAGTGAGGTCAGGTTCATTATCTAATGCACTTATTTAGATTTATTAGATGTTTTTCAATCTCAAAGTTTAAGTATCAGGGAGTTGTGTTTTCGACTTAATTTTTGTATTCTTAAGCTGCTCAAGTCTAAAGATTAGATTCTGATATTCCTCATCCTATGTGAATCAGAATTATTAAGGTTATTATTTAAAGGTAGAAATGTAGCTTACCCTGAGAGTTTGCTTCATCATGGTGATAATTTGGTTCTCAGATAGTTATGGTAGGGCAAAACCCAGTACTTTTTCGATGTCTCTTTGCATTTGATTAATGAATTGTGTAGATGATTGAATTATTCAAGTTTAATAATGATAGTTTAATCAATTTAATTTAGAAGTACTCCTAGTACTATTCTCAGTGCTAAACTAAAATGAATAAACTTTCAAATTTAATTTCTAAGGAATTTATATCTTGCTTCAAAAAATTGATGAATCAACATTTAACGGGGTTTTGGGGTTTTGGGGTTTTGGGGTTTTGGGGTTTTGGGGTTTTGG